GCCCGCAGGTGACGGCAATTACCAGACAATTACTAAACCTCGGCTCGGCTCGACCTCGCCTTACCAGCGTGTGGTTGCTTCTGATTACATATGTTTTCGTGTGCCTCGATTTCTCGAAAATGAATTATGAAAGGAGTTTCGATTTTTACATATTTTTTGTTCTGAGACTATTAAAATTCGCATTTTACCGCATTGCGCATTAGTTTCATAAATGCCTTTTTTAGAAATTCCAAATGCTTCACGGACCGATTGGAATGATTGGCGTGGCTGCTGGCGAATTGGTTAAAATAGGGAGTCCGGTTTCACGTTTTTTTCTAATGACTGCGAAAATTAAGGCTCTCAAATCGCTGTGGTAAAATTAACGCAATGCTCTTATTGCATCCGGCAAATGTGTTTTTTGCTTTTTTTTTTATTTTAATAAAAAAATGTCACATTTTATTCACTGTTCATTGTATATCTGGCGCCTTGTACCTTATCATTGAAAATCACTTCCGTTTTTGTCATTTACTTATTTTTTTATTTCGTATCAATGGCATACACAGAAGGGGAGTTAGGGGATGTTCGTCTTCTTTTCAATTGATGGGGCGCTCAAATTGCAAATTGCAAAAAAAAAAAAACTATGTGAGAGTCGGAAAAAGTTGACTTGTTCGCGCGATGTATAAGCCGATGAGATTATAAAGTTTATCCCTAACTTTTACTTTTCTAAGTTAGTTTTAAACTGGATTGCGTTGATTAGAAGCAAATTTGGGCCCTGGATTACACCAATGCAATGCTCTTCCGTGACAAAAACAATTTATTTGGGCAGAACATGAAAGCAACCAAAAAGCGCCATTTTTGCTGAAGAAATAAGGAAAAAGAAAACGGGCAAGAGCAAGGGGCGAAGGAGGGAAGGCGACAGGAGGAGGGAAAGGGGAAGAGGAGGGGAAGTAAAAATTGGGGCACATGTTGGAAACTGGTATGCCATTGTTTTTCACGAGTATTGCGTCCGGTTGTTAATGTTGCCTGGATGCACATTTCATATCATCTTGGTACCCAGATTTTTCGGGAAAGTAGGGGAGGGGATCTGCGAAATTGCATGGTACTAGCTCATAGGGAATGATATCACTGGGGATATGTTGCAAAGGACTAGAGGGACAAATTCGGGCAGCGTGGGGTTTTGCACAATATCAACGAAAATCCTTCAGTTATACGTGTTTCCCATCTTTTTAAAATTTTTTTGGGGAAGAGGGAGGAAAGACTGAGAAAAGCGATACTCGGAGGTGAAAGGGCCAGGAAAGGCGGGGAAGAGGGGGACTTCGTGCAAATTCCAGATGCTCCAAGACTTTCCGGTAGAAAGCTTAACTATGCTTCATGGTGTATCACAGCTTTCTTAGATGTAATGGAAACCATTGTTTCTTCCAGTTTTATCATTCATAATAATATGATAGTCTGTTCATGGATGACTATATTTTGCGTAAAAAGACCAGGCTTACGTATATAAATCCGTTATCCTTGCAGTTTTTGCTCTGCAACGACTGGAAACTACGACGATACGTTGTGTATGAAAATTAGTAGTAGTCAAAGAGAAAGTAATGTGAAGAAAGAAGAAATAATTGGTGGCTAACGCACCGGCTGCCCATGCGAAGATGCGTTTTTTGCATAGGTCCTCGCAGTTTTAGTCGCTACCGCCACCCGTTTTTCCGGCAAAGGCTTCTAGCTAAACAAATTTAGGTGGCCGTCAGAACTGCCAGTAAACACCCCTACAAAACTTCAGCTTTCTAGCTATCCTGGCTAGAACTTAACAGAAAAAAACTTTCACGCGCCCGTACGCGGGTACCACGCATACCGACATCGGGGTTTGAGCTTATTAACGAATACTTGGATGGGGAACATCTCCTTAAATTCCAATCCTCTAGATTCTCAGGTTCCCAAGTTAGCGACTTATTCGAAAAAGAATTTCACGGGTCCGTACATGGTACCACGCGTGCCCGGAGACTGGTTTGAAGCTCGCTAAGACTTGCGTGGACATGGAACGTCCACCTAAAATTTTAGCTTTCTAGCTTTCCTGATTCCCGAGTTAGCTACTTACCCGCAAAAAACTTTCACGGGCCTGCACGTGGGTATCACGCGGTAAGACCGCCCATTTTGGGATGGGGACCCGTACATACATGTAGATTAGGTCCTCAGGGTTTCAGCCCTGTGGCTTTTGTAGGCCTGGAGATGAAAAATCGGTACAGGCGAACACACAAACACACACACACACAGACAATCTCTCGTCATTATGCGTTTTCAGCATTGCATAGCTGCAAAAACGCATAAAAATAACATGTTAAACTTGGCGAAATTTGCCTTGCTAGCTGCTTTGACGTTGTGCCTAATTCATCACGATTACGTCACACCGTTGAAACCAAATTTTTTTACTGTGGCTGGCAGAAAATCGCAATATAATCCGCATGATTTTTAACCAAGCAAGTCGGGATGCGATTTTCCCATATTATATGGCTGATTTTCCAGACAACTAATCCTTTTCAGTATTCTGATTTCATTGTTATTATAATTTCTGGCCCTTGCTGCTGTCATAAAACAGCACCAAACACACTCGGCTTCGTCAAAAGGAATAACTCAAAATCGATTCCGTCGTATAAAGTTTCATCCATCAGCTAAAGCTGCGTGCCTGGAATACCTCGGACAGCTCTTTCGTTCTCGAACTGTTCAGCTGGCAACTCTTCCATTTGCCTTGACCCGTATTGCACCGCTTTATGCTAACAAATGGTGGTTCTGCGGTTCGCAGCGTTTTTGATCGGAAAACGAAATTTCCTCCAAGTAGTGCTTTAAAATGCCAAGCATCAAGAAACTGCTAATTTCCAGACTGCAGGCGATCAATCGATGTATAAGCATTAACACACAGGGTTCCATCAGAGTATGCTCAGACAAGTCGAGTGCCTCATACATTTCAAGGGTTAATCGAACCTCTCATCTTTACATTCGAACGCAAATTGCTTACCACTGCACCTCTTGTCCTTGCGTTCCTGTACCAGCTATGAGCACTCTTTTTTTGAAACTTTCTCTCCTAAGACAGTGTACACCGTTCGAAGACTGCGACACTTTACCGGCTTTTCATTTTCAATGTATGATTTCATCCGTTTTGGAACTGAATTTTTTAACGCTTTTACGAAATAACTATCTGCATATTGTTGGTCTGATTTTAGGAAAAACACTGATTAGCAGAATGCTGAAACCTGTGGTATTTGCCCAGATATAGCACAGAGGGCGCGACTGAGGCCAGGATAGTGGAGGGGGATGAAGCTGCTGGTTAGGAGTTCAGGATGAT